CCAGTTGTGCCTCCAATGTTGGTTTCTTGAGGCCACTGGACATAACGTTTCCCAGCAAGAGCTCTAAGTGCTCACTGTTCCATAATCTTTACCATATGATCCATCTTCAGATGGAGTTATTAAATATATAACTCACTTTTAACCCTCTGTCTTCACCGTGGGCAACTTTCCTTCTCTGGATAATTGTGGCAGAACCCATCTAGGCTACTAAAGTCGAACTGTTTACCCTCTGGCCTTCCGTGGGAAAAAGTGTGGATCCCTGCTGTATAGGAGTGGGTTCCATGAGTGAGTATTTCATGGAACTGTTACCAAATGACCCAGAAGCAAACTCTAACAATACCCACAAAACACCAAACACAGTACCACAAGGTACGAGAAACATTTCAGTACCAGGAAATCTTAGAACTTAGATTCAATTAACAATCTGCCAGAGCCCTAGATTTTCTCATATTTAACATTTGCAGCCAACAAAAACACTACCCAAGGCCAATACCGCTGTGCCAAATATGATCGTTAGGGCTTTAGTTAATATATCAGAATGTGAACCCCAGCATCTCTTCCTTCTACCGAGGGCTTTGATGCTCATCCTATGCAGTGGGAGAAAACTGAACACGCGTGCAGTGTTTTTGTAACAATTACCTCATTAATTTGTAGAAAAAATATATGTGTGTTTGTGTAAGTGTATCTGAATGCCTGTGGGGCCAGAAAGGGCTTCCGGTCCCTTGGATTTGAAGTTACAGGCAATTGTGACCACCTGATGTAGATGCTGGGGACTGAGCTCAGGACCTTTGAAGGATCATTGATTCGTCTCGTTAGCACCTTATCAATTGCTTTTGTTCTGATATTTCTAGAGATGAGGTTAGTATATCCCAGAGAACCATATCAGCAACCCTCCCCATAAAACAAACAAAGAAATGGAAACCAGCACTGGGTTGTCTCGGTGCTCTGAGAAGGAAGCTGTGTCTGCACCAGTCCTCCTGTGCCATGGTCTTTGAAAAGCACTCAAAGAGGAACAACCACGAGTTTGTCAGTTCCAGAAGAAAGGTGAACGAGAAGCCCTGTGGGGCAACCAGAAGCTGAAGTCACTGGGGAGGACCCAAAACGGCACCTGATCCGTCCAGTCACATGACCAACGCGTACCCTCACATTAGCGAGGGCAGTCTTCAGCAATGCCCCCTGTTCCGAGGGACCGACACCTCGAATCTGCCCAGGAAGCTGGTTGATGAGAAGGTGAGAAGGCTGGGTGTCACAGGTGTTTCTGGTTTGGAGGAAGGATGGGCAGAAAGGAGCAGGCCAGAGAGTGCGCCTGAGTGCCTCCTGATCTTCATGACTGTCCGTGGCTCCCGTTCATTTCTGGGGGAAGGCAACATGGTGCAGCCCTTTTGAAAATGGCCCAGTATCTCCTCAACTACAACTCACAGGTGTGCTGCAGGCAAGAGCTCCAGTTCTTATTATATGCTTCCGCCAAATGAAAACTTATACAGGAAGGGATCTGTGTCTTCCTGGTTCTAACAGCATTGGCTAAAAGAGTCAAGATGGATCTATAACTTGAGTACGTGTAAGTCGATGAATGCATGAAGATGCGTCATGCATGTGTGTAGCAGAGTGATGTTTGGGCATTGAGAGAATGAAGCCCAGTTACATGGAAGGCAGCTGCCCACAAAAGCCCACAGGCTCTATGACAATGTTCACGTGAAAGCCCAGAGTACAAAGTCCACAGTGATGAGAACTGCAGTGAGTATTGGAGTGATGGGGGTGATGGGGGTGATGGCCAGCATTGACTGTCAACTTTAGGGGATCTGGAATCACACAGAAGACAAGCCTCAGGGAATTATGTAGATGAGGTCAGCCCCTGTCTGTGCTTGTGAGGGGTTATCTTGGTTAGTTTAATTAGGTAGAAGAACCTACTCTATGGCAGAGCAGCCAGTCTCTGGGCTTGTGGCCTGTGCCTCATAGAAGGGAGCTGAGCACCAGGAATGATCACTGTCTGCTTCCTGAGGAGACGGGTGAGCAGCTACCTCTGTGACTTCCCCCTTACTGTGTGTGTGTGTGCCCTTCTGTGAGCCTCCTGGGTGCCTCCTCACTTACATTGCTTTCAGCAGTGTGTTTTGTAGCAGCAACAGCACAAACAGCTAGGGCAGAAAGAGGGGAAGCAGAGAAGATAGAGGGACAACAAGAAAAGTTATGGGATTTCTTTTGAGGGGGCAAAAGTGTTCTAGAACTAACTGTAGTGATTCTCACACATAACCACGGACACACAAATCCACTGGGCCACATGCTTTGAACCGGCGGTTTGCGTGGCATGTGGATTGAACCCCAGGCAAATGGCTCAAACACTCATGATCCTAGCTGTGGCTTTCTCTCTTTGCCATCCTGAGCACTCCCTCCGGGCTTCTGGGTCTTAATGTGGGAACACCTCTGAGGATACAGAGAAACTGCTTGTGTGGTAGCCTACTTCCTCCTCAATCCCAGGTGCAAAGGGTTAAACCAAGAACAAGCAGGGTGTGGCACACGTGTGCTCCCACAGCTCAATGCACCGAGCTCTTTAATCTGCACCAGTCAGCATAATGTGGGTAACACTGAGAACAGCCATTATGCAAGGGAGAGAAAAAACTAAAGCCGTGGGATCCATCCCCCAGCCCCATCTCTGTTTGACCCTAAATGACTGTGGTCAGTTATGGCTGGGCTTCTTTGAGAGCTGTTTGCCCGACTTGCTCAGTCTCAGGCTCCTCTGCCTGCAGGAAATCTACATCACAGCAGCCTGAAGGTTAGAAGTCTCTCTATGGGTCTCCTTGCCTGCAGCTAAGGGTCTTGTAAATAATTACACTTAAAGACCTGGCAACAATGGAGTGACTGTATTCCAGGGAAGAGCTAATTAGTTGAGCTTGGTCTCTGACCGGTAAACCTCTGGGAGGCTGAATTCTTGTCTCATGTGATGTTTATAGCCCTTTGTTTGCAGAGAGCAGTCCTTCACTGTGTGAGCATAAAGCAGGCCTCTGCTTTAACATTCTTATCCAGCAATCACGGAGCCTAAGGGTTCTTTATGAATAGAGTTACTTTTGGAGTGGATCACAGGACTGAGGCCTGCTAAAGCCAAAACTAAACCATGGATGTTGTTGACAGAGGATTGCCAGTGGGGTAACCCCTCTAGGGTAAACAGTCAGAGCTCACGAATAGCCTGAATACTTGCAACTCCCACTAGAGAACCTCAATGGATAGGGCCCAGGATGTCAGTCTTTCTCTAACCTTGGCCATCACTGTCTTGTCTCTCGGATGGAAAATGAAGGGGGCCTTCCTTCCTTCCCTGAGCTTGTCTGAAGATGCCTAGTCTCAAATTTTAGATCTTACTCATTTGCAGGAAGTAAGGCTTGACTTTTTTTTTCCACAATTAAACATAGATTCCTTCTTCACTGTCCCAGAACCCATATAAAAGACAGGCTTCCAGTAGGATCTACCAATTTACCAAAAGCCGGTCAAAGCCCATTTCCGTAACATACACATCTGCTAATTTAAATCTCTCCTTTAAAGAAACTCGGCACAGTCTTAGCCAGAGAAGCAGGTAGAAAGCTCACTTGCCTGGAAGTGGGGCCCTGACAATAGCCACCTCTCCCCAGAGGACCTTGCCCAATGTGAGAAGAGGAGGGAGGTGACACATCTCCCTGAGATCCAAAGTCACACATTGAGGAGTAGAAATTCTGTATTCTGACTTACTGATGGAAAATAGAAAACGGGTGATACACTGCGTGAGCACACACCACACACATACACAGACGTGGGAGAGGGGAAAGGGGGGGAGAGCAGGAGTGGGAGGGAAAGGAGGAGAGGAAGATGAGAGAGAAAGAGAAGAGCGGAGGGACAGAAAGTGGGGAAATGGGAAGAAAAGAGACAGAGGAAAGAAAAAGGAGAAACATTTTGACCTAGTTTATAGTTGTCAATATATCCTCATGTGATTGTCCTGCGAACTCTACCAAACACCTCGGGAGAGTAATGTCATCCCTACCCTAGGGAGGATCCCTAAGCATTCGTTGATGGCACATGGTGCAGACAGACAGGCCAGCGCTCATGCAGGTCCTCAGCCTCCAGGCCGTATGTGGCCTTGGCCCACATCCCCATCCCCAGTTATCTGAACAAAAGGCACAGGACACCCAAGGGAGGTCTCTTTTTGCGGAGTAAATGGGTAAAGCCATGTCACGACCAAGTAAGAGAATGGGGTTCCGTCCAGAGAGGTGGGGCACTGTGAAGTCTTAACCAGAGGGGAACCTGAGAGCCTGAGCTGACTGCGTTTGGAGCAGACAGTCAAGGGGACACTTTCTTTTTTGTCCCCAGAGACTCATCTCAGAGTCCCAGTATAGTACTGCTAATTGGCCCTGAATTTGGCACAAGTTTCATTTTACAATGATTCTCCTTCAGCAAAAGTTCCAGTCCTGCAAGATTTGCAGGGCCAGGCTGCCCAAGCACTGAAGCTTAGACTCTCCATCCGTGGTGGCAACGGTACTCTGTTCCAGCAGCTTGAAATATTGCCCATTATTTATCTCATTGTTTCTGCACAATAAAACAAACCAGACCGTTAATCTACCATTGATGGATATTATTATATGCCTTAGAAAGTTTGCAGAAGCAAATTGGGTTCACTGTGGAGAATAGCTGCCTCCTTGTTTCATATCAAAATGCCTAGACGTCTCCCAAGAGACCATGTCGGCCATGAGATTTATCCACTGCACCGCATTTGCTAATTTCGTGAGCGTTCTGAGCTCAACCGCGCAGCTTAATACAGCAACGCTGTGAACCTGAACAGATACACGGAGATATGGGATCTGTTCAATGCCATTTTCCGTCACATGTATCAGAAAATGTCACACTGCCAGCTCCATATATATCATATGTATATATAATACATATATATGCACAAATTATTATTCCTTAAAAACGGCGGCGGGGCGGCGTGGGTGTGTGGACAAACACAGGATAGGCGGACGCAAAGGAAGAGACGGACACGCAGCTCCCACGTGGGTGCGTTTAATGGGGAGAGGGAAACACGATAAGGGCGGGACGTGCAGACACACGAGGAAAAAGGGGCAAGAGAGAGAAACCTCGTGGAGCGCTCGCTTTTAACTGCGGGCGCAAGGTTATCTGGGAGTGATGGTCTTCACCTGGGCGCG